ATTGATTGCATGGGGAGCTCACTGGTTCTGTAGGATAAGCACTGAACTGTGAACTACAAGATCTGTGGTTTGAGCCCACCAGCCACTCCACAAGAGAAAGATGATACCTTTTGTTCCCACAAAAATTTAGAGCCTCAGAAATCCTATACAGGATCACTGTGAGTTGAAACCAACTTGACAGCACTTAACAACATTGTGTGTTTAATCAATTTCATTCTGAAGAAATGGGTTGCTGCTGTTGTGTGCTGTTGAGTTGGTTCTAACTCATAGTGACCCTGCATAACATGGTTAGTAGCCCAGTGCTTATCCTACAGTGCCACACCAGAGCCCAAAGAAAGTGGTAGAATTCTTGAATTTCTTCATCCAATGACGGTTGGTGTATAAATCTGATTAATAGTTGTTATAAATTTTCTTCCTACAGGCATATATGTTATCCTATTACGGACGGCACTGTATTTCAAGATAGGTCTTGAAATGTGCTTTTTTATTATGAATACAGCACCATTTCTCTTAAACTTGTCATTCCCCACATGGTAAACCATATGATTGTCAGATTCAGTATGGACATTACTTGTCCATTTCAGCTCCTAAATGCCTAGGATCTCAATCTTTATACATCCCAATTTTCCTTGATTCCACATTTCCATTATCAGTGGATGTGTACAACTGCTTCTTCTCATTTTGAGGTATGCCCCATCAGCAAATGAAGGTCCCCAAAGCTTTGCTCCACCCATGTCCTTAAGGTCAACTCTACTTTGAGGAGGCAGTGGTATTTTGAGTGTCTTCCAATCTGAGGGGATCATCTTCCAGCACTTTATCAGACAGTGTTCCATTGCTATTCATAGGTTTTCAGGGGCTAATGTTTCAGAAGTAGATTACCTCGTCCTTTTTCTTAGTCTGTTCTTGGAATGCTGGTGTGGTGCTATAGGATAAGCACTGGACCTCAAGGTGGTGGTTCAAACCCACCAGCCGCTCCTTGGAAATCCTATACAGGGTTGCTATGAGTTGAAACCGACACAGTGATATTTAATAACAATAGGAAGTCTGTTCTTAGTCTAGAAACTCTGCTGAAATCTGTCCACCATGAGTGATGCTGCTGGTATTTGTAACACCAGTGGCATAGCTTCCAGCAAGACACAAGCCACCACAGTATGACAAACTGACAGATGTGTGGGGGTGTAACCATTGTCGTTTATTAAGTGCTGCTGAGTCTGTAT